GCTGAGGTACTGGAATAGGTAATATTATATAGAAATTGAGGGCATGGGTATAGATAGTGATATACAGAAATTAAAGGTACTGTTATAGGTGATATTAGTGACCATTGTGGATTTTTCATCACAACGCTGTACATATTTGTTGATGTTTAGGCAGTTTTTATGACAAGTCTTGTTAGTTCCTACTCTAAGGTATTAATCATGATGCTGTAATAACTAATGTGAATTCTGCTTTCTATCTCTTTAACTGCATGCAGCCTGGATGACTTGGTTTGTGAAGAGGAAGTTGAAGCCTCCACAAAGAGATGCTATAAATCTTCCCAAAATCTCTCTTCCTTCTATTCCTCCTTACCCCCTCTTCCCACCATCCAAGAAAAGCTTCCTGTAGATGAGACTGGGGTTGTTTTGTGTAATAGTAGTGATGCAAACCACAATTCTCAGATCGCTGTAGAGAATGGTGGACGCTGTCAGAGTTCTATGGACTTTCAGGAGGTCAAGTGTCGGCCCAACGTGCAGCGCTCAGCCTCGTATGGTTTCCGCAAAGTTCGCCCCAAAATGAATAATTACGGAGTCAAATTGAGCCTAACCCCTTCCCCTCCTGAAGCTCCTATGACTTGTGACATGATAGAGATGCTGTTGCCTGCCATAAATGTTGACCAGTATAATGATAAGGTGCAACAGAGATAAAGCATAACTTGTCAGCACCTGCCTTCATGCTGCGTTTGTCTGCCTGCCTTCATGCTGTGTTTGCCTGCCTGCCTACCTTCATGCATAACTGTTTTTTTGCTAAAACAACTTATTTCCTTTTTCTTTTCTTTTTTAACTGAAGGTTTGGAGTGTGTGAGACATTTTGCTATTTTTTGTTATATTTGCACTAGCAGTGTTTTGAAATTACTGTAATTTTATCAGTTACAGAGGACAGCAAATTAACTGATATATGATGTTTCTTTGCTTTTGTTTTAATTGAAGTTGCTCAGGTATTTTTTTTTCCTTTTTCTCAGTTTTATTTCAATGTGCTTGGCTAAGCAGTTCTATCCTGTTAATTGGGAATAGAATGTAATTTATAGATAGAGATAGTAATCTTAGAAAATATTAACAGTTTATATTTAGACCGAACAGTTTTGAGAGTATGAAAGTCACCTGCGACGGCAGCGTATGAGAGGCAGTGAATGGTGAGGGTGTCATGAGGGTGCAAGGTGAGGGTGTGTCGTTAGGGTGTGTCATGAGGGGTGCAAGGTGAGGGTGTGTTGTGAGGGTGCAAGGTGAGGTGAGGGTATGTCAGGACAGTGCCAGGTGAGGTTGTCTCATTAGGGTGCAAGGTGAGGGGGTGTTGTTAGGTTACAAGGTTAGGGTGTGTTGTGAGGGCGTCTCATTAGGTTGCAAGGTGAGGGTGTGTCGTGAGGGTGCAAGGTCAAAGGAACTTTACTCAAAATGTTGAAAAATATTTGTGAATCATGATCGTTATTCACTACAAGTAACATGCTATGTTATTTACTCATTTATACAAAAATAGTTTTTCACATATTTAAAGATTAAGAAGTTTCTTATACTGTACTGCCAGAATAATTATACTTCTTTAATGTATATAGATATTAAAGGTAATTTTAGATGTCATACCCTCTATAATATAAATATAGATGTGTTAATGCCACTATCAAAACCCATTTATTTTCCTACAGTGATATATAATTTTATTTCCAAATGGATTAGTAAGTGCTGAAGGCAGTGTTTTCCCTGTGGGGAGGGGTGGGTAGACGAGTGTCACGCTGTCGCTCACGTACCCGTCTCTCTCCAGCTAATACTGTACTTCATACATGGAAAACAATTACAGCGGAGTACTTCTTATGCCCTCTTTGAGAATATATTAAAATCACATCAGGTTTACTGATGTGATTTTTAATATTGGGATTTTTAATATTTGTGATTTTTTAATATTGTGATTTTAATATTCACTATGTTATAATGGGAAATTACAGTAATTTCATGTTCAAAATTGTAATTTAATTTTTGCCACCTATTTTATCATGTTAATAATTGTAATGTTTATGTTAGTGAAATGTTCAATGTATTATTTTATCATGGTAATATTTCCTCCCCACTGGACGCCACTCACTGAGGACTGTTGAGGTAATTTATTTTCTGTGTGATGTATATAAAGTGATTAGTTTAGTGAATCGCCATTGATTACAGGTATACTTGTGTAGCTTACCTTACTAGGAATAATATTTTTGTGTCAAAATTACGGTTTTGAATGTACTGTAGATGAAAAGCTGCTGCTGAACAAGGAACTTGGTTGCTCCTTTAGACTCCTGCTTCTCCAGGGTTATTAGAGACTCCAACCTGGGTCAGTATGATCTTCACATTCTCAATGTAGCGAGGATCTTTTTCTGACAGTCATCAGCAGTTCATATATAGGGTTGGAAGACACTGAACAATTCAGCTCCAAGTATAGTGGAAGGATAGGCAAACATCGAGTGGCAAATGTACTTACTGTTCGTCTTACAAAACCTATGGGCTTGAATATCCACACACGTCGTAGGGGGTGGGAGAACACCTTGAGGTTGGCCAACTTACATGGTTCATAGCCCCGGAATATGCCTCTCAGGTGACTATGACCAACCTGTGGAAGAACTGAAATAGACGAGCCTTAGAACTGTGAAACATTATATGTAGGTCAATGAAAAAAGTATCAAACCGAGTGAAAAGATGCCCAAAGATAATGGTAGAGAGCAGCTACTGACACAGATCTGGTTCTTTCCTAGCTTGCCAGGGTCAGGTTCCAGGTAAAGTGGGGAAAGTCCTACTTGATTCCATCCTTTATTTAGATTTAATTGGGCCTAGTTTAGGATTTCCGGTCAGCTTCCCTTTCCCTGTGGTCTGCTACACTGTTCCGCCTGCAGTGTCATCTCCGTTTGTTGTTGGAATTGCCCTTGATTCCTCGGCAGTTGGTCGAGAGGTTATGTAGGAATTTGAACTTTGCTTTGTGTGGTATTCCCTTGTACAGTTTGGCTCGGGGTGCTATTCTGGCTCCTCTGGTTCTGCCCTTTTCACCTCCACTGGGCCCACTGAATGTAAGCTCTATTTTTCCTTCTGCTGGCTTTTGGTTCGCCAATTTTTTCTTCTGTGTTTTCGGGTATCTTCTTTAGGTTATCTTGAGATGATTTCGGGGCTTAGCGTCCCCACGGCCCAGTCCTTAACTAGGCCTCCTTTTTGTTACACCCACCCCCCAGAAAGCAGCCCGTAGCCACTGTCTAACTCCCAGGTACCTATTTACTGCTAGGTGATAGGGGCATCAGGGTGAAAGAAACTCTGCCCATTTGTTTCCGCCTCCACCGGGGATTGAACCCGGAACCTCAGGACTACGAATCCCAAGTATTGTCCACTCAGCTGTCAGGTAAGGGTAAGGAGATGTTCCTCGCTAGTTCAATGTAATCCTCCGATCTTTGCATTTGGGCTTTTTGAAGTGGATTTATTGCCATGTTGTTTGAATTTGTGCTGATTTGACAGCAGTTTTTCCTGATATGTATTGGGCTAATATCATGGCTTGGGGGTTTTGAGGTCCTACCAGGTTCCTGGTGGCTCGTTACCTGGTCAAAATTCCTGGTCCCCATCAGATTAGTGTTGCTCTTGGTCAGGTTTTTTCTTGTCCTGGATTCTCTTCTTCTCATGTTTAATCTTCATGCTAAATCTAAGCTAAGTCCCAATTTACTTCTGTTGTTAGTGGCCAGCTGTAACTAGGGAATTCAGTCTGACTACTGGTTGGATCATTTGTGGAGTTGTTTGCTGCTTCATTTCTAGTTTTTCTGTGACTCTTGCAGTCACAGAAAAACTAGAAATGAAGCAGAGCAAATGAAAAACTAGAAATGTTATCTGTTTTTCTTTGCTTACTTTCAGGATGTTTCCCTTAGTGAGGGTGATCTTGGGAGGGACCCTGCTCCCTCCTTGTGTATCTGAGAGGGGGCCAAGTTCTGTCTTTGGTCTCCAGTAGGCTATTAAGGACTTGTGGGGCTGATAGGGAGGTACTTGTGTATGAAGCTACAGGGAGCTACCGAGACCCAACCATAAAAGAGACATTTCAGTACATTCAATGTTGTATTATTTTTTAGATAGAAAGGTTAGCAGGGGGAAGGGTTAATAGAGTAATTTTCATCATACCCAGCCACTCAACCGATCCACCAAGATGCTCAGCTATCTCCACTCATCATCATCATCCAACCAACCACTAAACTCCATGATCCATGAACTCTCATCACCTCAACAACCCCCCCTCCCCCCACTCCACAATCCACCCAAATCTCCCCCTCCACATGTCCACCAAACATCATCTATGATATTGTCAAGATTTATGGCCTCGTAGTATAGTTGGCTTCATTCTCGACTCACAATCGAGGATCTCGGGTTTGACTTCTGGATGGGACGGAAATGGTTGGGCATGTATCCTTTTACCTAATACCTCTGTTCACCTAGTAGTTAATAGGTATGTGGACAACTGTTGAGAGGTTGCATCCTGGGAAGGATCAATAGTTCAACCTTGGAGGGATCTTGATTCAATCCTTAAGTACACAGGCTTTCTACCTGTGGCTACTACTACAGTATATTATGATTAATAAACAAATTATTATTTTTAAAATATTAATTTCATAAGAATTTGGGGGATACCTCCCTCAGGTTTATAGGAGTATTTTTTAAATTTCCCTTTTTATATTGCTTTTGTGGAATAATTAATATTAGAAGGACTTTGTCCTCCAATAGTATCAATGTATGTTTTAACTCCCTATTTTCAGACTTGATCCATTCAGATATCTTTCCTCCCCAATAGACAAGAGAGACTATTCAGTGGATAGAAAGGAATTGTCACTTGTCATTATTCAACTTCTTTTCTGTGGGGAGCCCCAGAGGCTCCAGAGAGCCTCCGGGGCTCACCCAGAAAATGGCTTTTCATTACCTTTAACACTGGTTTTTGTGCTGCTTAACTTTATTTTAATGCATGGTTTTTTTTCTAGGGAGTACGTGAAGGATTCACGTGAGGAGCGGCGAGCGTGGCATAGGAAAGCCATAGCAACATGAGTCACCGTCATTTTGAACTATGTTCCCCATGCTTGATATAGAAACACTGCTATTTTGGCATATTCATGTATATCCATTTGTACACTAATGCAAACTCCTAATTATGCTCATAAATGTTGACAGCTTGATACAAAAGAACCGCCCAGAGACATGGTCTCTTTTACAAGTAGACACAGTCGTCCTCCCACGTGGTCTAACTCTTGGACACTCATGCTAGTTGACTCATACTTGCCCACCCATATGCTCATAACATACTAAGCATTATATGCATCATTCCTAGGAGAGTTTCTGTGATGCCACTTTGGACATGATACTGAAATATAAACTGTAATATGTACTTAATTTTAACAGGGTACTTAACACAAACTTGAAAACTGTAAGTTGAATACGAGGTACATTACATCTAAAACATGATAAACACAAATTCACGCAACCCATTTAAATATTGCTGTATAAACTTTCAGTACAATAAGTACTCCTCTTTACTTGTGGGACTTTGAAATTCCTAGTGGATAAAATCTTGTTACAGCAATGACAAGAATATTGTAAATCGGTGGCAAATGTTGCACGCTTCACTACAAACTCGCACTACAAGTAAACTCTGTAAGATCAAGAAATTTGTAAAATTCATATTGATTATTTTGTATTTATGTAATTATTAAAAAAGGATAATGCAAATATATATTTCTTTTAAGCTTGTATGTATAGGAGAAGCAAATATGAGTGTCGAGTGTTTGCCTGTTACATAACGACAATTAGATACCAATGTAACTTTTCAAATTAACTAGTAAAATAATCTAGTGATTTACTATAATGGGATGTATTTTATGAAATTTGTTGCGAGAAAAATTAAAACAAATATGTTTTAAAAATATTGTTATGATGTCTAAATGCTGGTGTTGCTTAATCTACAGAAGGTTGTTTGACAGATTAAAATGGAACACAAGTGGCAAGCTCTTTCAGTAGTGTTAGAATGATTGTCTGCATCTGTTCACATTATCAAATAGTCTTAATAAATGAATTTACACAATTTTGAGTACATGTAAGGAGAATGTGATGATGATGGCTGTTCTCGAGAGTGGTGACTGTAAACAGGTAGGTAATGGCCTACATTTGGAGGATGAATCGGTAATCCAGTTTAAATCACACATAATAGCATGGCTTTTGAACACTGATGCTGTTGCTTATTTTAGGCTAACTGCAATAACTTGGATGTGTGGTTTCAGTGACACTGATATTCCTACTTGGACACGGTATTGTCCTTTATTTGAATGTTCACTTTTAATTTGTATTGTATATAAGTTTTAAATACTCGGTGTTTGTTAAAAATATCCATATAGTGCAGGCCATAACAGAATCTAGAATGTTACACAGTTGTTAAAGAACTTGTAAATTAAGAATAAATGTTTAAGTCCACACCATACCTCTTCCCTGCCTTCCCTAGACACACACATTCTGAAACTCAAAGACATGAGCTACATAGAGAGGTTTAGAATTACTGCATAATACTTTTGTGAATAACCATTTACTGAAAAAAACGAAGCCTTGAGCATAGGGAACTTCTCCTAAAGTTCTTAGTTCTAAAGGGATTGTAAGAATAAATATGATAATACACAAAGGAAAATGGAATACCTGGCGCTTGATCTTGTAAACTAATGATAGGTAATATCTTTGTGCCCCTGTCCCACAAGCTACAAATAGGTAATATCTGTGTGTGTGTGTAGCTGCAACCTCCCCCCTCCTCTCTCTCTCTCTGTCAAACACAAAACAAAAGTGGAAAAAGGTTTAGAGGTATGCCACCAGATAAGTTTCAGAGCTGAGAGCTTTGAATTATGAGGAAAGGCTGAAGGAGTTAAATCTCATATCACTGAACGATAGAAGAGTTACAAGGAGAGAGACTTTCAATGGGTGGTACATGGAAGAGGTCACCAGTGGAAAATAAGAACCCATGTAAGCTAGGGTAATTAGAATGAAGTTCAGTATCAAAGTACAGAGTAAATTGAATGCACTAAGTGTAGTATTGGTGGTTGACTCCACACAGTTTCAAATGTAGATATGACAAAGCTAAATAAGCTGATTATTGGTTGTGGCCAATTAGGCAGAACCAAAAAAATATAAAAATGATCGCCTCGTTGCCCCTCCCCCCTTCCTCCCCCTGCAAGCACACTTGGGCGAGAGTAACAAGTGAGCATACACATGCAGACAACAGAGACATTAAGAAATTTGAAGACAGAGGTGTTGTTCATAAACCAACAGTAAATAGAAAAGATTATGATTTAAAGTTGTAGAAAAGTAGTGTGCATTAAAATCACAAAGTAACACAAATTTATAATAATATAAATTATATATTTATAATAAACTACAGTTTACACAGACGGCATACCATGAGCATAATGGGGGGACCTTCGACAAGCTGCTAGCTTCCTGTCTTCGTCGAGGCCACTAGGGGTTAGTGGCCCTCAGGTAAAGCAGGTAAACAACTCTCCATGTCATTTAAACTAGGCAGTCTCAGGCAGATATCCAGCCATTCTAATACATGCATATATTTACACCACCCTCCCCCTGTAGTTGCTAAACACACTCCGTAACCTTCTTTTCATTCTCGTCCTTCCACACCTGCACTCGTTATTGTGCCTCCTACACCCGCACTTCAACATTCCCCATCCACCCACTCTCTTGATCCATAATATCCGATCTCACTGCCATTCACCATCAACCAACGCTCCCAATACACCGTTTCTAATCCTCCCTCCCCTCCCTCAAAAATACACACACACACACACTGTAGTCTCTGCTACCATTCTACTAATTATTCATGTACTGTACATTATTACTTTTTTATAGTCTTTTCATTAGCTTTCTGTGTTGCAAGAATGTTATCCTGTACCTAATAGCTGAACAAACTTCACCAGGCAAAATGCACGTGGTAAATCTTATTTGCTCTTGGGTACAGTGTTGGATAGTGATATTGAGTATGTGATACATAACAGATCATAATAATTGGCTTACAGCATTTGTTATTAAATAGTAATACAATATAATGCAAAATAAATGTGTATACAGCTATTGGTATGAAAGACATAATAGGAATATATGTTAAAGCATTTTGGGCTGGTTTTGTTAATTTTTTTTTTATGAATGCTTTAATATCTTCGACTAGCGATGTCTTGTCATCAATTTTGGCAAAAATAAATATTTATGTAAATAAATAGTTATATATATATTATATACAGTATATAAATAAAGTAGGTCACCAGCATAATTAAGCGTGTCATGTTTGTACGTGTACCACGTAATGTGTAAACAGGAGGCCTTAATACTTAAGGGCACTTGAGCCTTCACTCACTTTATTACTAAGACAGACTGGTTGACTGTAATTAGATTGAAGTGAAACTATTCAATAACTTTAAAATAATAACACAAACTGATAAATACAAAATAAACTTTTATCTCAATCTGAAAGTTTTGATGTGACTGCATTTAAATAACATTGCTCTGTACACGAGGTTTTTGTGATCCCTAGTTATTTACTGTATAAATAGAATTTGTGATATGCTATTTATAAAGAAAATGTTAATATTAATTGCCACTTGTACTTGAAAATGTAAAAAAAAAAATAAATTGATTTATATTCTATTTATTGCATAAATTAATTTAAATGTACAGAGGCACGATAGCTGACGTTAGTTCCTGGAGGCGAGGGCTTAGGGTGTTACATTGTACAGTACGGAATAAATTAAGTATCATTACCATTAATCAGATATGACTAAAGTTGGATATTGGTATACTGTGAATGTTATTAGACATGAATGATTATAAAGCCAACTGATATCTTAATATATTATGGCTTAAGGTGCTGTGGAAAGCTGACCCATTAATTACACATTTTTACTTGTGCCTTAAGCTTGTAATGTCAAATTCAATGACTAGAAATTAGTACAGTTCATCTTTATAAGCAGTTGTATGTTTGTTGCATATATTCAGAGCCTAATTTAAATTTAATTTCTGTAATGCAAGAATGTAAGCTCTTTCAGTTTTTCTTAACCACATTGCTACACAAAAAAAGCTGTCAATTAAGTGTTAATTTCCCTGAAGCTGCTATGCAAATATTATGTCAAAATAGTATTAATAATTAATGTTACTGTGATTAGAGAATGAAAATTAAGCAATAGTGATGCTCGGGTTCGTGTGCTTCGGTACGGGAATACTAATAAGAAATTTTTTTCGATGTAAAGAAGCATTTAAGTTTTACTCTTATCCATTATAAAACTGTATTTAGCTTAATGATGAATAATGACAGCATTCATTTATTGTAATAGATAATTCCTTAAATATTGTTTTTGTTAAAATTTAAACTTCCTAAAGATAAATTGACAAGTTTCAATTTTAGGTACAAAAATCTCTTCTCATATGTAACAGTCACTTTACATGGAAAATTTTATACTGAACAGTAGATTTTATATGCTTTATGATAATTTATCACTTTCTTTTAACTTTATCATATTGTTAATGATCTGAAGCCTTGGATACATCTTGCCAGGAACTGTTAAGGTCACATTAGCAAAAATATTTTCTTGTTATGGAACAAATAGTTAGGTTGAATTACAATTAATTTCTCGGTACTTTTTTACATGTCTGTAACTGAAATGTTCGATTTAATAATAATTCTTAAATGGTGTATGCTATTTTTTTATTCCCCTTAGCAAATTCTGAAAAGCATATTATCTAGCAGTTTGTGATAATTGTATTTCATCTTAGAATATTGCAGTGACATGAGGGAACAAGCAATACTCGGGAAACACAAACCGAAACCGTCTCTATTTTCCGCTTGTTACAACTTGTAATAAAGTTGTTACATCTTGGCTTAACGTGTTTATGACATATTAGAACGCTGTTACAACTTGCTATATTGGTTGTTATAACTGACAAGTCGCGGCGTCCTGTGCCCGTCGAGGCCATTATAGATGGTGGCCCTAAGGGAAATTCATCAGACGAGCCACTCTCCTTCCCTCATTCTGAATCAAACTCCTCATTCTAACCTGCATTCTTAACCAACTGGCTTAATTGGCCATTCTACACAATTTGTGGCTCAAATTTCTAGTTTCATTCATATTTGCATCAAAATATGTTGAAAGATTTGATTTTGGTGTTGAGCTTAAGGGTAACCACTGGCAGGGCTATTAAGGCCACCACAAGAGCCTTAATAATGACCTACTTAGCGGGTACACCTGTTACACCTGTGGCTGTCACACCTGTGTCTGTCACACCTGTGTGTCACACCTGTGGCTGTCACACCTGTGACTGTCACACCTGTGTGTCACACCTGTGGCTGTCACACCTGTGTCTGTCACACCTGTGTGTCACACCTGTGGCTGTCACACCTGTGGCTGTCACACCTGTGGCTGTCACACCTGTGACTGTCACCTGACACACTCACGTTCATGTCTTGCCTAAATACATAAAATATAATTCACAAAACATAAAATATATATATAAAGAATAATAACGAATAACAAAACATTAAGTACACACGGGTACACTACTCAATATATTATGATTGATTAAACAATTATGGTTGTAACACAGGTCTATTGTACTCACAATTAATCAATTTCAACCATGCCGGTCACCTGCTGGTCATCTACTGACCTCATTTTATGAAGTGGGACCCCGGACATCCGACTCCCTCTTGCTTCCATAATAATATAAAAACTGTCAACCCTAATATACCATATTAAGCCATAATATACACTAATATACCATAATATAAAAACTGTCAACCTGTAAAACAGTTAAGCTTCTGACCACCAGAGGCACTAATGCTCCCCTGTTATTACGCTCTCCATACAATGATTGCTGGAATTGCAACATTTAAATACGTTCATGTTTTGTAGTATGTATATACGACAGCTTCGGGAATTTGATGAGTAGCGGATTTAGTGGAAACAATAATATATGCGTTTTGTTTTTAGTAACAAATTAAGTCATGCACAGACAGCAAGTCACAACAACTTGGCTGAATGTTTCACACCCAACCCATGCATTTGGAAATAAAAGAAGGGTTTTAATCCTTCCCGTACCATTGTTTAGTCATGTAAAGAACGAGTGGCAATATATCTTCTCACCTTTCACCTCAAATTCTTACCTTACAAACTGACTTTCTCCACCACTCTTTACAGGATGGGATATTGTAACTGGAATAGTTACAATACTGAGTAGGAATAGGGGATACTGCAGTAGGAATAGGGGATATTAAGCAGAAATAGGAGATATTGTAGCAGGAATGGGGGATATTAAGCAGGAATTGGAGATGTTGTAACAGGAATAGGGGATATCGTAGCAGAAATAGGGCATATATTGTAGCAAGAATAGAGGATTGTCAAAGGTACCCCCATGGTTCCTGAGGAATTTTTCTAACTGTATTTTGAGCGTGCACACTGCTGCATTATGACATTAAAAGGAGTTTGATAATATGCTCAACGTGTCTTCTAGCTAAAGTTAAACGTGGCATGTAATTTTTCCCAACAAGTCTCCCTAGATTGTTAAGTGTGCTAACGAGTAGGGTGCTCACCTAGTTGTGCTTGCGGGGGTTGAGCTTTGGCTCTTTGGTCCCGCCTCTCAACTGTCAATCAACCGGTGTACAGATTCCTGAGCCTATTGGGCTCTATCATATCTACACTTGAAACTGTGTATGGAGTCAGCCTCCACCACATCACTGCCTAATACATTCCATTTGTCAACCACTCTGACACTAAAAAAGTTCTTTCTAACGTGATGGAGTGGTCATACCAGGATGGCAATTATGCAGATAAACGTAGAAAATGTTAATTGTTTCCATCTTTAATCTGTAATATAAAATGGATTCACCTGTAAGATTCTCATTCTTGACCATGTAACCAGTAGGTTGCTACCGTTGGTTTAGTGCTTACAGATCATACATTGTTATTAAGTTGTTTTAAGAATGTTGCTTAAATAATTTAGACTAATAGACAGTTAATTAAATAAATTAATAATATACAATATTTTTAACTAAGGTTCCTTCTCGGCTTGGTGCCTTCTTTTGATAATTACTTACTTTAACTAAGGTTAGCTAAAGGTTTTGTTTTAGCGGAAGTCCCCTAATAAGGTAATTTGTTTCTATGTAACTTTAAAAGAACATTGATGCTTAACTATAGCCTCACGAGTCAAAGACCAAAAAGGTCTTCCAAGTTAAGTTATTGCAGTCTTATCAGTTTTGTCTACTCCCAACTGTTGATACAATCGTAATTAATCTCCATTGCAATTTCACCTTTTCCAGTGATTGGTTCCATTGTTCTTGAAACTCATAACTGTTTTGCTACTTGGTTGCATTTGAAATAAACTTTTTATACTTTCCCTTAATGTATGTAAACAAAATATTATTTCAGGTGCGTGAAAAGTGTGGTAAAGTGTTGGCTCATAGAAGTCAAGGTAAAGTGCTTATTTAATAACTATTTCTGGGGAGGAGCTGTTACGGGTTATTCATGTCTATGCCATCTTTTGGGTGGCTTAATCTTGATTTTCATCTTCAAAGAAAGTGGTGACTGACAAACCTGATAGTTCTGATAGGGTTACTAAAGTAAGACAGGGAAAACAAGGTTGTGTAGACTAGGCAAAATAATATCAAAACTTTATTTGATAACACAATGAACTGGGTAATTTGTCTCTGTCCTTCATGTATTATGGAGTCACAGGCAGATGAGGTTAAGAAGGGTGAGACGGGGTGGTTGTGACAGGGGTGAGACAGGGTGGTTGTGACAAGGGGTGAGACGGGGTGGTTGTGACAGGGGGTGAGACAGGGTGGTTGTGACAAGGGGTGAGACAGGGTGGTTGTGACAGGGGGTGAGACGGGGTGGTTGTGACAGGGGTGAGACGGGGTGGTTGTGACAAGGGGTGAGACGGGGTGGTTGTGACAGGGGGTGAGACGGGGTGGTTGTGACAGGGGGTGAGACGGGGTGGTTGTGACAGGGGGTGAGACGGGGTGGTTGTGACAGGGGGTGAGACGGGGTGGTTGTGACAGGGGGGTGAGACGGGGTGGTTGTGACAGGGGGTGAGACGGGGTGGTTGTGACAGGGGGTGAGACGGGGTGGTTGTGACAGGGGGTGAGACGGGGTGGTTGTGACAGGGGGGTGAGACGGGGTGGTTGTGACAGGGGGTGAGACGGGGTGGTTCTGACAGGGGGTGAGACGGGGTGGTTGTGAAAAGGGGTGAGACGGGGTGGTTGTGACAGGGGGTGAGACGGGGTGGTTGTGACAGGGGTGAGACGGGGTGGTTGTGACAGGGGGTGAGACGGGGTGGTTGTGACAGGGGTGAGACGGGGTGGTTGTGACAGGGGGTGAGACGGGGTGGTTGTGACAGGGGGTGAGACGGGGTGGTTGTGACAGGGGTGAGACGGGGTGGTTGTGACAGGGGTGAGACGGGGTGGTTGTGACAGGGGATGAGATGGGGTGGTTGTGACAGGGGGTGAGATGGGGTGGTTGTGACAGGGGGTGAGATGGGGTGGTTGTGACAGGGGGTGAGATGGGGTGGTTGTGACAGGGGGTGAGACGGGGTGGTTGTGACAGGGGGTGAGATGGGGTGGTTGTGACAGGGGGTGAGACGGGGTGGTTGTGACAGGGGGTGAGATGGGGTGGTTGTGACAGGGGGTGAGACGGGGTAGTTGTGACAGGGGGGTGAGAGTGAAAGGGGAGGGAGTGAGAATGGGGGAGAGGGATGGGTGTTATAAGGGAGAGAAGGGGAGCACGTATAAAATAGTAAAATAGGGGGCAGACGTGTGAGAGGGTGGTGTGGAAAATTTCCCCTTATATACAAATATAATATAAAATGTCTACCATGAACTACGTAACGTTTTGTCCAGTCAAACATTACAAAAAAAAAAAAAGTACGGCTATGCAGATAGTTATCGTTTATGAAACGTAGGTTTATGTTGACAACTGTACGATAATAACTGTTATCTTTCTTTAAATAACGCCCATAATTTTGTATGTTATATTAACTCTCTCAATACCTCGAAAATAATTTTCTGCTGAAACAAGTAATAAATACAGGTTGTAAGTTGAATGTATATATGTGATATGTTAAAGTAACTCCTCATTATTTCACATTCTGAACGGTCAATTACAAAATCGCAGAAATATACTAGGCTAAAACGTTACTCTTCAAATTTAGTTTGTCAGAAATTGTGTCAATACAAATGAATTACCAGTGTTGTTATTAATTACTAATTTAGAGGTTCTACAAACGGAACCTAACAATTAATGTACCAGAGCTGCATGAGCCCAGTAACGAGGGAACTAATTAATTGCTTAATGAATCGAGCAAACAACGGGGAAATGCCCTGCCTCACATGGACAATCAAAGAGTAATGTTAAACAGTACATCGCATTTCGACGTATAAATTCCCTAAAACCACAAAACTTCCGCACAAAAGCTCACCGCGGATGTCAATATTGACGTAATGTTCCGTTTTCTATGCGTGGGTCCTCGGTTAAATTAGGTTCGGTCAGTTTAGTACAGTTTAGTGACGCCGTGACCGCTGGGGACGACGGACTACGCACCAAACCTTCGGACCATGACTGTCCAGGAGGGCCCATGGCCGGTGGCCTTGAGGCACAGGGCCATTGGGGTTAATAGTGGGCGGAAGGGTGATTAAGGCCCCGG